ATTAAAGTTATTCAATCAAAACAGTCTAAAATATAAACAATCAACATCCTTCCCTTAAGCGGGACGCGGCAACATTAACAAACGTTGACCGGTCCGAGGTGATAAAATGGTTGGGGAACATAGGTAGATTCCGATTAATTAATTATTTATTTATTCTTTTGAATAAACCGTAATCCATCTCTATACATACCGTCTCAGCCCCAGGGTACCCAATTGGAGTCAGTGTTTACTGTACCCAGCAACCAATCAGAGAGCAGCCTCTAAGCTCTCAGCCAAGCCAAAAAACTCAAAAATTTTCCACCCAGATGAAGCACCATAGCCACGCCTCCCGGATTCCATTGTTCGATCAATCTCCATCATGCCACTCAGCAGAATGGAAAACGCCACTTTTGCCATGCCTCCCAGCATCATAGACTCTCACGATATGGGATTGAGGATTGTTTTACAGTCCAGATGCCCAAAAAGGAACGCCTATTATACATACCGGTATTATAAGGGAATAGTAAATTTGTAAGTTATACGCTTTTCAGTACTATAACTAATACAGGAATGCTACCATTTTGTGAAGCATTTTAATGATACATTTGAGGAACCTTAATATTTCTTCCAACTTTGTGTAATTTAATGTGATTTATGAGGTGTAAATTTTAAAGTAATAATTTTTTTGTCCAAACATGAAATCTTGAACGCATGCAGGTTGAAACCATTGTGTATTCTATCAGTAAATTAAGTTATAAGTTGAAAAGGTGCGTGTAAATCGTAAATTTGCATAATTTTATTTTCATGTTACCATAATATCCGGCGTATAACACGCACTTTGAGCACAAAAAAATAAAATAGAAATTTATGGGAAAGTATTATACGCCAGGTATGAAAATGAGGGCTTTAAAAATAAACAAAAAGAGGAGCATAGAAAAAAATTAGACTTCTAGGTATATCGAAATACAGTTTAATTGTAAGAAACAATATTCCTTGTGAACTTAAAGGGTTGTAATTGAAGAACACTATTTTTTTTAATAGAGCTTGGGATAATATCTCGAATAAATGAATTCAAACTATAAATAAAGATACACTTTTCAATTGAAAAATATAAAATATAAGCTCTCGTGCACTTCAGGATTCTTCGTATAAAAAAGGAAGCGCATTACGCGGCGAAAATACCTAAAAACTAAAACTTGTATCTTGAAACTATAGGGGCGCGTTATACGCCAGATTTAACGGTAATAATTTTCATTATTTTACTTTAAAACCAAAAAGAGCATTAATATATTCTGTACAGAATTTAACTTTTACTAGATTTTTATTTTTAAGCAATAGTTTTTAAAAACACAACAGCATAAATATAGCAACTGTATAAATATTTCATTTAAAATTCGTTTTGACTTTGATATGTCTTTAGCTCTTACACTGTAGGTTTTAATAATTCCCTAAGAATATTCATATTAAGGTATCCGACTACCCTAAAATCATGATTTTTTTCAAAAATTGACAATTTTTTTTATGATTTTATTTTATAGGCAATCTTATTAGCTTAATAAAAGTACAAAGGATTTTATTTTCCATTCACTAGAACAAAAACAACAAGCGTTTTAGTAAAAGCAGATGCCTTAACTGAACACAAGATGTTGAACTTTAAAATGTGTTTTATTCGAAATGTGTGTTTTTTTAAAAGTTCAAACGGGGACAGCGATTGCTCAAAAAGCTTTGAAAATAATTTGCTGAAATTTTTTGTGTACGTTTTGTATAACAGTAGAAGTGTTTTGACCTTCAGATTTACCAATCACTGTTTTATTTCAAAATTTACAGTCCTTTATGTGAATATAATCACTATTTTTTTAAGCAATTTCATGTAATCACTAAGATAAAGTGCTCTAGTTTTTGTAAAAATTAAAATATCTCTTATACTGAAGGTCATTTCAAACATGATTAACAAAGGAACACATCAAAATTAAAAAAAATGAGAGTTTGTGCATAAAATTTTTGTACAGAGCGGGCCCCGTTTATGCACTTTTTTGTACATTTTTACCAGTTTTTTTCCCATTTTGATAATAATAATTTTTTTTTCTGTTTTCAATTTTAGGATTTTTTCCTTGAAATGTACTAAAATCTAAAAATCACAAAAAAATCCCCATATCTGCATTTTTTCAAAAAAAAGTTGTCGCAAGTAGTCGGATACCTTAAGATTTATCAGGATTTTTTTTATTAAAAGATCAAAGACATGCGTATTGTCCATTTATTCCTTTATTTAACAACTAAAAATGTATTTTCTTTACGGTTATAGACTAAAATGAATAAATCTATAAATATATAAATTACTTTAAGGCTTACTATGAATTTTATTTTTAATTAAAATTACAATTATTAAATGTCTCAAATAAAATAAGTTTGCTTACTTACCTTAACTTCAAAGCCAAGTTGTCAAATTTCTACTAAAACTTTACCGAACTTTATTTTTATCACACACAGAATCCTTTATTACATTAAAAATAATTCTAAACATTTTATATTAACAAGTGCATAGTCACTGAATTATTCAAACAAAGGGAATTCAAACTTGTATTCTGTGTAATACTCAAGCATAAAATTGAAAGTAGAAGCGAAATTAATACATGTGAAAATAAATTGGAAACAAAAAATTAATACTAATTGTAACAAAAGTTTTTTGAAAGTATAATTGTTTTTACATTCAAAGCAGATATAAGATTTACACACGCATCGCATAATAACAGAATCCACTTTTTTAAAGCACAATTTTAGAATATTTTTTTTATCAAAACATTTTATTACGAAAGAGAGTGTTTTCACATCCATTCTAGCATTTTACTTATTTCGTTCCTTTTTAATATTTCAGTGACGAAAAAAAAAGTTCAAAACGGTAATCGAGAAATATTTTTTTTTAAAAAAAGTAATGTAGAAATGTATAATTAGTTTCATTCGAAACATATTACAAAAATTTCGAAATTTATCGATGTCTTTTTTTTAAAACAAAACAAAACACATAGTTCACTTTCTCGATGATAAGTTTTTTATAATATGTAATTCACCAAGAATTATTCTGGAATCTTTTGCAATCAAAAAACATTCTGGGTATTATAAAAATAGATGAAAAATGAATCAATAATTCTCATTCAAAAGCAAATTAAAAGTTTTTAATTTGTAGTTTTTCACAATTGAAACTCTGCACAAATTTATATTTACAGTATTAAATACCTCCCATAAACCATAATAAGATTTGTTTTCAAAGAATTTTTGATGCAATTTTCCGTAATCGAACATTGTGAGCCGAAACTTGATTCATTTGCTTAAATTTCAAGTAAATATTTCCTAGTACAACGAAAACGAGATTACTACCTTCTATGAATTCGAATTCAATGCCCCTTCGCCATTTTTTTTGCGCAGACGATAAAATCTCCTTATACCAGTTATAACATATTCTAACCGTTATTGCGTGGGTGGGACAAAGCGATCGAAGATTACATAAACATCCACCCACTCCACCTCAGAATGCAGCTCGGACGCTCTACAAAATTCTTCGAATCGAACGGATATCACCTGGAAATATTCCCGCCGGTTAAGCCACACAAGAACTCATTTTTATTGGATTGTCCCAGTTTTGTTCTGAATAGAACATTGCCCTGCAATGAAAGGGTCTGCAATGTCAATAAAAAAAAGGGGGAATTTTTGTCTGAAAGTAATTTTTACTTTTTCGAACTGTCAGAGACGCTAAGGTTTTCTATATAATACCTAGATTGTTTACCTCGAAGTTTGTAGAAGATGGGATGTTTTCTTTTTCCCGAGCTTTTGATATGTTTTATTTCAGCGGGAAAGAGTTCAATAAAAGAGTAGAGTTGAGTAATATGGTACCTGATATTATGCTTTAGAAGAAACTAAGAATGTGCATTGTATCCTTTTATTCATTATTTGTTGTATTATTACATTTATTGTATTTTGTTAATATGAAACATTAATGCGACAATTTTTTAGTGATATGTTCATAGTTTATTAATTACAGATAAAGTAAAAGTGTGCGATATTATGAAAGACATAAAAGGTGGAATCCATTTTTAAATAGACTAAGGTACCATTAATCTTCTTCAATCTCATATTGTGTAATATTGTGTTAATGTATCATATATTCAATAAACTATATTCTCCATATAACCTTATTCTATTCTATACTAAATACTGTAAATGCATGCTCATTTCTATGTGCACAAATTTTTATGATAATTTTTCAATTCCCCTACTATTAGTTCACTCTCTCCCTATATATATATATATATATATTGTTCAAATTTTCAGTCGTTAATGAAATATTTTTATTCATCCATTCAAGTTCAAATGCATTTTTTAAACTTGTGGTGGATGCCACTTGATGTTAATACAGTTTTTTCAAATATTCATTAATTAAATAAAAAAAATGAATGAATAGTAACAAACAAAAGTAATAGTCAAACAGCATATCGTCGATCTAATTATCAGACTGCGTAATTCCATCTGGGATGCTAATTTAATACAGTAAAGCTAGGCGCCAAGTTGTTGCTTATGTTTGCCAAGATAGGCGATATTTTTATTGTGCGATGTGGTTGCCATGGGGATAACGTATATTAGTGTTAGTTTTTTTTTTCGCGGGATCTCTGCTCAGCAAAAGTAACACATAGTTCAAATTTTGTGTAATGAACGCTTAAAATAGTGTAAATAATTTATATCTGGAAGTGTAATACATTAATATTACTTTCTGTTGTATTTATTATATGTTAAAATCTTGCCACCATCTCTCCCTTCGAAATCTAGTTTTAATATGAAATAAAAAAAAGTAGTGATTATGTATACTGATCGAGGAATAAATTAAAAGCGGAGCGCGCACTGAGGCATGGCGTAGACAAAACAAAAGGATTAAGGAATCGCGCCACTCCTATATCAAATCAGTAACGCCGGTGGAGTTACGCAGTCTGATAATTAGGCCGACGATATGTAGAAAGGTAAGCCGTTCGCGTTGTGTCCCTGTACCGCATTGGATAGCGAGTTGGACTTCTAATCCAAAAAGGTCGTGAGTCTGAATCCTACTTGGGATAGCCTTATTTCTGAGAATGTGATTTCTTTTTTATTAGAATAATTAAATTTAATTTGTGAATAAATAGGAACAAACAAAAAAAAATAGTCCAACCCCATACACAGAAAGGAAAATGGCAAAATTGCAAGGAAAATCTTTTTCTACTTTGTCACTTAATATTGTGATTCTGTCATATGTATACAAATATTTATACTAATTGTAACTATTTAAAAAAAGTAACTAAAATAAAAATGTTCCTTGTTACCTCAAGTAGGAATTGACATAATTTTTTTATTACTTGTTATCTGTATCACTTGTGTAGCTAGTCCTGAGTTGATCAAAATTTCTTGGGGCCCTTTTTGATGGGCTGTCAAATATTTTACGATTTTTTTTTTACACATTTTAGGGGCCTTGAATCTTGAGGACCCAGTATCATTGATACGACTCTCTCTCTATCTCTGATAAGGCAGTTGCTGCGCCCCTGATATGTGTGTATTGTTCTTGACTATATAAATCTAGAATAGTGATTCTCAGCACTGTGCCACGTCATTTTTGAGTGCCATCAATTTTTCTTAAGATGAGTTGGAAATCTCTCTTTATATATATAAAGACAATGTTAAATTGGCTGTTTACGATGTACCTTTTCTCAAAATCTGTTATATGTACATGCTTGAAGTTTTTCACACAATTAAAGTACACCTTTCTTATTATACTAAAATGAACTTTTAGGTAATTTTGAGTTTTTTAATAATTTATTAAATATTTTATCAAACATTGCGAAACTTGACTCATTTTTCACATAAAAAAATTTGTAAAAAATATACTTTTGAGTTTTTTACAAAAGTGTCATTTCAGTATATATTAACCATCACATTATAAATATATTATAAAAAATTTACATACCTGTGAACAGTATAGTTTCTTAGAAAAGGTTCATAAAATTTTACACTTTGAGATAAATTGATTTTAATGTCTACAGGGAGACACTTCTAATCGGCTAGGAAATTAAAAAATAAAAGGCTCAATTTACAATAAAAGATACATGTTTTGGTTTATATCACACGTTCAGATTTTTAGCAAATGCGAAGTATTTTGTTTACATTTTTCACCATTCAAATGGGCGTAGCTCTGTTTCACCGATTATTTAAAAATAGGTTTTAGGGGCTTCTAATTACTCTAAAGGGGTTAAAGTAAGATATTTTTAGAAAGGTTAAAATCTATATAATTTGAAAAAATAAAAATCTCAAATTGTCAAAACAATATGATTTTAGCTTTCCAACACCTCTTAATTACTCCTTTGTTAAATTTATTTTAAGAATTTTGAAAATTATTATCATTGACTATATTACATAGTGTATTATAGATAAGTAAAATTCTTATAAAATTATTTTATTGTTAGTGTGCCACTAAATTTTGAAATTGTTAAAAGTGTACCCCAAGGAAAAAAGGTTGATAATCACAGTTTTGTAGAATAAATGATGGTATATGTGTTTATAGAATATATGATGGTACAAGTTAATAGAATATAGAATATACATGGTACAGTTACGGTATCCGACTACGTTCGGAACCGTGATATCAAAAAGCGCATAAATGGATAATTTTCATGATATTTAGTGTCACTCAGATTAGAATACATGCATAAAATTATTTTAAGGACATTTTAACAAAAAAAATTATTCAAATATAATATTTTGGCAAAAAATTAACTTATAATAATCTTTTTTTTGCAAAAGTTCTCCTTTTGTGAAAAATGGTTCTATTATAATAATATTTTGCCTGTATATAGCTCAGACCTTTCTACAGAGGCACAACTAGAATTTTTGAAAAAGTCGCATTATTTTCAGAGTTATCACCAATTGAAATAATTATTCGCGTTTTTTTAAAAAATTGCTCGCCTCTGTTGTAAAATATGAATAGACCCATTCCTAAGTTATTTATTTTAAAAATTCTAGTTGAGCCTCTGGACAGAGGTCTGAGCTATATATACAGGCAAAATATAATTCTAATAGAAGTATTTTTCACAAAAGGAGAACATTTGGAAGAAAAATTAATCTAAGTTAAGTTTTTGCCACAATAGTGTATTTAAATAATTTTTTTGTCACAATGTCCTTAAAACAATTTTATACATGTATTCTAATCTAAGTGACACTAAATATCACTAAAATTATCCATTTATGCGCTTTTGAAAATCACGGTTCCGAACGTAGTCGAATACCTTAAAAGCAGTTTATAATTGTTTGCATAGTAGAAATGATGTTTTCTTAAAAAGGGCCAACAAAATGAAATCCTTTAGGTTTTTTTTAGAAAATGTTTGCTAAAATCACAGATAAAAAAATGTTCTTCAATTCTGGTTGAATGAAAAAAAAAAGATATTTCTAAAAAGATTTTTAACACCAAATTATCTTAATTGTATTATATAAAGTCTATAATATTCTAAGACAGTTTTAGTTTTTTAAAAAAAGGAAGAATGTTTTAATCAATACAATTTATCTCTTTCTTAAGAAATAATATGATTTATTGGGTGTTTTTATTGAAACAAGATAAAAAAGACAAAATTGATATTTAAACTAAATTTACATTTAAAAATTATGTTAAGTACAAGATAAATTAAGTGAAAGTTATGACACATTTATATATTTAATGAGCCTATATACACTGCTGGACAATTGCTAAGGACGGATAACACTATCATCCATAGCAACCACAAAATGAAAGGAAGCAAAATGTGGAAAATTAGAATAAGTGCGGGATATTAGTAAGAAGAAGTATGAGTATGCAAATTTTTTTTCCACGTCTGTTCATCACGTGATAGCGTTCATAAGAGTTTTAAAGGTTTTGACGCGTGTGGACAGTTGTTGTTTCAAATCAAAGTTTTACAGGAAAGATTTAATAGACGAACTTAAAATTTTTGGCATGTCTTCCCGACATCACATAGATGATTTTATGCGTGGCCGAATTATTGGAAAGATCGAAGAGGGCGAAAAATAACAGATGTTGCCAGGGAGTTCGACATCGCTCACAGCGTTGTTTCACGGCTGTGGAAGTCATTTAAAACTACTGGAATGTGTAGTAGACGGCACGGGGGAGGTCGTGTTAGAAGTACGACGCATGCAGAAGACAGATATATCGTCCTATATATATCAGCAAAAAGGAACAGGCGCACCACAGCTCAGCAGGTGGCAAATCAGTTTCTTGCTGCCTCAGGAAAGCAGATCTCCCGAAAAACTGTTGCCAGACGTTTGAGGGGAGGAGGACTATACGCACGTTGACCTGTTGTGTGTGTCCCATTGACCAGACAGCACCGTACTGCCCGTATGACATGGTGTCGTGAGCATCACAATTGGACTGAACAGGACTGGGCATGCGTACTCTTCTCAGATGAGAGTAGGTTCAGTCTGTCATCGGATTGTAGACGCCAACTGATCTGGCTTATCAACTTATCGTCCAGAAAATATCCAGGAAAGGGACCGATATCCGACATGCAGTATCACGGTGTGGGCCGGCATCATGATCAATGGCCGCACGCGCCTACATGTGGTTGCGAATGGGACTATGACGGGCCAACGATACATTGATGAAGTTCTACATCCTCATGTTCGTCTTTTCCGTGGTGCTGTCGGTGATAAATTTGATTTTATGGACGACAACGCAACATGTCATCGAACACTCGCTGTTCAGGTTTGTCTAGACAGCGAGGGTATTCAACGTCTCGTATGGCCAGCGCGTTCTCCAGATCTAAACCCCATTGAAAATGTGTGGGATGCTTTGGGGAGGCAAGTTGCTGGTCGAAACTATCCTCCGACAAACAAGAACACCCTCATCCGTGAACTCACAGATGAATGGGATAAATTGCCTCAACAGCTGCTGGATAATGTTGTGCAAAGTATGGTACGACGTGTGGAATGTTGCATCACACTCCACGGTGGACATATCCCGTACTGATACCTTTCTTTAAGGTGCCTGCTGACTTTTAGATGCATTGTTCCATTTCTCCGTACGCAGATCAAATGAACATTTTGTTTTCTTTCAGATGTTTCACAGCTTTTGTACTTTCCAGAACAATAAATATTCTTTATTCTAATGTCTGAACAGTGTGGTAACTATATTTTATCCTACTAGGCCTCATGTCTCGCTTAATGTTATGCTACATAGCAATTTGTGATCCGTCCTTAGCAATTGTCCAGCAGTGTATAACTTCCCTAAAGAAGCCAGATTTGTACATGCGCAAACCAGTAGAAACATCAAAAAGAATTTTATATGCTTAATAGCTAAGTGCTCTGAAAGTAACCTTTGTCTAAAAAAAAAACTTGTTCTAATAGAGTTTACATGAATGATATAAAGTTGTTATTTGTTTCATATTTCATTAAAATATAACAAAAGCAATTCCACTGGACACGAACCTACATAAAACGTAACATTCTCCATATTTACATTTGAACTTCTACATGAACAATTTCCAAGAACACACGTACTTGCTTAAATATAAGGGTTGCCCAAATAAAAAGTGGACAGGTTCAATAAAAATAATTATTTCATTGGAAATCAAAAGAAATCGTTCCGAGGGGTTGCAACACAGCTCCCATCGTTTCGATAATAGGTATATGTTTTCCCTCTAGAAAGAACGTGGTTGATTCTTGAGGAAGTCCTCTACCCAGCTTCCTTCATTTCATCGTCTGAAAAAAACGTACTACTGTATTGAGTGGTCTGAAATCTTAGAAGTCATAGGGTGACAAGTCGACAAATCTGGACTGTATGGTGGGTGTTATTACATTTCCAATAGGGTTTTTTAAAAGTTGTTTTCACGTGAGACGTGTGGGTGGATATAGTCAAGGAGATTCGATGTCGTTTGCGCCTTTTCAAGGATTTTCCACCAACTGTTCCACGACGTTCGACATAAACAGTGCTCGCCATAGACTGCCACTATTCGTCGATATATATCCGCATTAAACTCACCTCCTACAAACAGAAACCATACTACCGCAAGTTGTTCCGATCTGGGCACATCCTTATATGGCACGA